CCTACATAACTTGCCGAACATGTGCAAGTGAAAGAATAAGTAATCATAGATGAGGAGACGATGGGCAGCTTATCCTTGAGGTTTGTGCGGAGCTGGGGCCGGCTTGTAAACATTAAACGTAGAGTGGCGGCTGGAAATGTCCTTGTGATAGCTTTCTCAAGACGTCTTCTTAGTATATCACCACTCGTGTCTCCTTTGAACGGGAGTTGTAAGAATAGTTCTTTCTTTTTGACCGTGCTTGGTTTAGGCATTGTGGGCTTTTCTACGAGGTTCTTCTCGATGAACCGCTCCGGGTATCCGTTATTAAGGAGTGAGGATTTGATGAATTTAAGTTCTTCCTTCACTAAATCCTTGGAGCAAATCATTCGAGTTCTATAGGCCAAGCATTGGACTAGGTTTCTTCTAAATTTGATTGGGACGAAACTTTGAAAATGGGTGTGTTGGCCGTTCCATGTTGGCTTTCGAAAAATAGTACGGGATAACTTTCCACTGGGCCTCTTCTTTAGGTTGACGTCGAAGAAGTGAAACGTATCTTTATTTTCTTTTTCCATCGTAAAGTCGATTGACGGATGAGCTTGGTGAAAACGATCCAGTATTATGTTCGGTAACATACTCTTGTCGGAAAGGATAAAAATATCGTCGACATAATGGCAGTATAGCGGGAGTTGAGGTATGATGTCTCGTAGTTCGTTGTTTTCCAGTTTGGCTACGAAAACATCTGCAAGGAGCGGGCCAAGTGGGGAACCCATGGCTACATCATCCGTCTGTCTGTTGATTGTACCATTAAAGAAAATTGGATATTATATGTACATCGTAATAATAGTTCCTTGAAATTTGTAGTTGGGATTCCAATTTGTGTGTTTTCTTCATCAATGTACTGGCAGAGGTAAGACACCGTCTCGAACAGTGGCACATTTGTAAAAAGTGACCGTATGTCTAATGAGCTCATTGTCAAAAGTTTGACGTCCAAGTCCCGAATTCGGTCGACAAATCCGAAAGTATTTTTCAGGCTATGCTTGCAGATTTTCTTCCTGACAGGATCCAGGATTTTTCCTAGCCAACAAGCAATCGAATGAAAAGGTGAATTACGCATATCGAGAACTGGTCTTAATGGTGTCCCAGCTTTGTGAACTTTCGGTAGGCCATATACTTTCAAATTTGTCGACCAGGACTGTTGCTGAACAGAATTCGTTTCACAGCACCTCAAATGCTTCCACGCACACTGTATCCCATGAAAGTGCATGCCCTTTTTCCAATAACGCATTGAGTGGAAACACTGTTCTTTCTAAATAAACTACTAACCTTCTATGATATGAGCAAGGGCTAGGAACCCACTCATTTGGTCTGTATTGTTGAGTGTCGGCCACGATTGTAATTTTCTAATCTTCTGTGGGTCGGTGCGAACCCCCGTCTTAGATATTACATGTCTCTGGTTCCCTAAACAGACATGTTAAGGGTTTCACTCTGATTCATGATCAGTCATAGTACCCCCGTCATGTTCTGTAGGTTCTCAGCTGGCGATTCGCCACGAATATTGCTTCATCCAAGTAAACCAGGCAAATATTCTGCACTAGATCTCGTAGCACCTCCTTCATTAGTCGACAAAGTTTTCTTGGTGATTTCGTTAATCCCAACGGGTATTGTCTGATATCCATACAATCCAGTTTATCACAACGCACGGCTTTTTAGACTGATCTTTTTCTTCTTCTTCCATCTGTCGATAACCGGAAGACAGTTCTAGGGTCGTAAAACATGTCACTAACCCCCTCTACGAGATTATCAAATGTATGTCCATTTTGGGTTGGGTAAAAGCGTTCTGCTCCGTCACCTAGTTAAGTCGCTGATAATCTATGGATATCATCCAGCTACTGTCTTTCTTCCCAAACGGGATGATGGGGGAGGTCCAGTCTGACTTTGATGGCCAGATAGCATTGTCCTGTACCAGGTCGGTTATTAGTTTAACTACTTCTTCCCACAGTTTTAGTCTGTATCGTATAGAGTGTAGCCAAAATTTGCACTGCATTTCCCTTTCACTTTGGTGTTTCAGCATCCTTGTGTGTCCGAGCAAGCATCTATCCAATGGTTACTCGGTGTTGCAAACAAGGTTATTGTTACGAACATCTCACCCATGTTTCCATGCGTAACAACAGGTGAAGTTTAAGCGTATTCACCTCAGGAATCGCTATATGATGGAATGTGGTCTTTTATGTGAGTTTTTGATCTGACGTGCATAGTTAATACGACATCATACGGCATATTTTTACCAAAATATTATATTGTTCTCATTGGAAACACGCAATAGACTTTTACATTGGGACGGAGCAAACGGTCAACTTTTCATGTTACTAAATGTGGTCGACATTCCTATAGCCAATAATTCCAGCATTTGATTTAGACAGGCGTGTTCAGTTCTATCAGGAATTTGTTGAACATCGCTGTTATTTTTGCTCAAAGAAACGTAAAATCTAATCCATGTTTAAACTGCATAGTTAGCCGCTAGGGAACTTTGGAACTATACGAAACTGTAATGTGGAGTTATTTAGTAATCTAGCACATTATATGCATTGACGGTTTCTGATTATTTTAGTTCTTGGGTGACGACACCTGCATAACCTGTGCTTTCACGTTTGGATAGTATTTCGACAAATTGCTCACTGTGGCGAATTTCATGTCTTCTTATGCAAGTTTGTATTTCCATAGTGAAGGTAGAAAACACTATGCTTTTCATTTTCTCTAAAGACGTATAGTGAAAAACAGTGAAGTACACTCACAATACAGCGAACTCGAGTATTCCTACTCCTGATATCAAACACTAATATTATTGAGCACCAAATCACACTCGAAATACCAATGCGATTTTGTAACTTGGTCTTCAAATATTCTCTTTTCAGCTAGCGCATCGCTTCGTGCGCAAGGCACCCGTGGACTTAGAACCGGAATTCACCCGCCAAACTGATCTATCAAGGAAACATTCACGCTTTGCTAGCCATCATAAACACAATAACATCTGACATCATTAGGGAATCGTCAGACATCACTCCAGTCAATAAATAATGATGATACATATTAGCGCCACCTCAATTGATGGCCATCCGCCAAAACCCGGAAACACAATGAATAGTCTTATATGCTGCCATCTTTGAATACTGAGACTTCGTAACATGTATAAGAAAAAAGCATGAATCTACCGACTCCCAACGAACTTTAAACATAGATAACAGCCGTAAAATTACACTCCGTGAATTTCAATGAATTCGATAAAAAAACATTCCATGGCCGAATAAACATGAGAATTTACGGTTTCTGTAAGCCTCGATAATTTGGTTTTATCCATATGCAAGATGGTTACTGTCAATGCAACTTATACGGCACTGTGGGTGCTGTTGAAACGTTTTGGTGGTGTCTCTGTGTGATGGTTCAAATCCCCGGAACCTACCGGTATTCACGTACTTTGATGAAAATCTGTTTCAGTGAACAGGGTACTGAACATTTTGAATAACTTTTGTTCAAAGAAATACGATTGGAGAATTATATGCGTTCTGACTGAATACCTAACTCTTTATTATTATCTAAAATGTTCGACAATTCGCATCTGAACTGAACCTGTTCATTTATCAAGTATACAATGAATGCTCAGTACAAATAAAGGTATACCCTGTAGACAAACCCTGTTGCAGGATCAATGCTTCTGTTGTTCAATTTTCGATTGTTTGTGAAGTGCAAGGAGATTTGGGGTTAACCACATAAGCACATTTGAAACTGACGGATAAGACCAATCACTGAGGGAATTTCGATATCCAAATAACTCTAATTTGGAACGTGGAATTATTTGTCACTTTCTCAATTTTGATCGCTTTGTGAATGAGTTGAAATGACCTTGTTTGAACTCGACTTGACACTTTGATTTTTATAATCCTTTTGAGAAGTATGCAAAAATGTGGATCAACACTATTATCCATACTATGGCAATAGCTGACACGTATTAGGAAGTTATTTTTCTCGGGACTTGGCAGCTTAGATGTGTCACATTGTGCACACTGGCTGTACGTTCCAAGAGGTTTTAGGAAACACTCACCTACTGAATGCAGCATGCTGATATGTCCAGTTGATATTTACATCTGAATTATAATTTTGGTAAGTGCTAACAATTCACTATCCTCGGGCGGTGACAAGTGCCAAAAGGAATTTGGTGTGCTTCTCAAACCCGAAAGCTCCAACATACCAGCATTGAAACTTTTGATGATTATCCCCACTTCTAAATATGTCACGTGGCAATACATGACAAATATCACAAACTGACTGTCCCCTAAAACATTTTCTTCTTGAAGAACTGCAGTCTTAACCGAATATAATTCGATCTCCACAGTTATACAATATATAAATGATTCATGGATAATAGGTGATTTAAAGCACCGAATTCCCTTTATCCATTTCATCAAAACAGAAAGAAGACAAATGTCGCGATGTGTTAACATTTCATTTAATCTTCTCGGTCGCTGACCTAAAACAATCAGGTACATATATAGCACATGGGATTAATCAATTATTGTGAACGAACCTAAACATGGCTGGCAAACCAGTTCCGTCTCACACACTGTATACCAGTTCACTTGCAGTTGCGTAACGCATACATAGGCAAAACAAAAAAACATCATCTGTCACAACGGATGTCGAACATATTCCAAAGTTAATGGTGAAATGGATGACACAACCGATAAGTGATGGTCAATCGATTGCAAAGAATCCAGTATCATTTATTGAAAAATAGCTCATGGCAACAAGACACAGTTGACCCTATTTCTTCTTTCAAACCACTATTACCTAATCGCAATGCTAAAATTTTGGCGATTAGTGGAGCACTGCTCATTCGATTATATCACCTGACCTTATGCGCACAGAAGTTTTAGATACAAGTAGTTCACTTACCGTGGAGTTGACTTTTTAGTTCTAAATTTAGTAATCCTTGTACGCTTGTATATGTTTGTTCACCATAATTGAATAATCCCATGTGTTATATATAAAAAAACTGATTGTTTTAGGTCAGTGACTGAGAAGATTAAACGAAATGTTAACATCTCGCGACATTTGTCTTCTTTGTGTTTTTGATGAAATAGATGATTATTTGACTTTGAGAACACTGGACTCTTCACACATGGGTCGGATGAAACAGCTTATGCTGTGCATAAAATAATACTGAGTAAATTGAAAAATTTGCTTAAATTTAGGTTGAATGCAAGTGGGTGAGCATTTCAGCCCCGCTGCTCCAACCTAGTAAATAATCGACCACCGCTGACCACATTTAAAACTCTCCTGCAATTATTCTAATGATAATGAAGTGGTTGAACTCAATGAATATCCGGAAACC